CCACATTGCAACAGCTGCTCAGATAAACGGCGTACGGTTTCAAAACTTAACTTAGGCCTTGGAAACGATGCGTGTTTTATGAATGAAATGTTTCAACTGTCGTTATCTGCATGCGTCCTTCGAATCTGTTCACCTACCTCTCGTCAGTTTACAGAGGCGGCTTAGCGTATCTAATCTAGTTAGCTGCACCGTGACGTCACGTTAAGAAGTACAGTCACAGTAGAGTGCGCGTGCCGCGAAAAAGTTCAACAAACTTAAAAAGAATATAACGACAAGAAAAAATGCTGCCGTAGCTATTGTTGTTTACGTTTCGACGTCCATTGTTTTTATTTAATATTTTGTTGTGCAATTAATTTAAATCGTCGGCTAGCGACGCGCGGTGTGTAAACACTCGAAGCGAGCTAGTACGGTAGCACGCGAGCGTCCCGCGCCGGTTAATACTCGTCTGTGAATTACTTACTTCGTGTAGACTATACATTCGGCGCGCCGCCACTCTGCGCATTTCCACGATATTATACACCGTGTATCCTAGTATACTGGAAATGCAATACGTTTTCGTGACGACTTTTCAAATCAACGGCGTGTTCGCTTTATTGACTTGATGACTTGTTGATTGAAATCGGTGCCTTGTTGATGTTGGTGAATAGTCAAATGAGACTTTGATCTGTTTGTAGTTTCAACAGATGTACGGAATCGTGAATTGTGGTATTTATTTGATGATGGATTGTTTTTTTTTTTAAATCCACGTTTCATGTAACTATTATTAAATAACTAGCGGTACTCGCCCGCTTCGCTGGGCATTTAAAATTAACATTATTATTTATTGTCATTATTATTATAAGAGTCTATCGATAAACTTGTTGTTCAGCGTAGGGTCAATGGTAAGAGATCTCGTGGACAAATCCCCATGCGTTGGACTGATCAGGTGAAAGACCTTACTGAAACTCCACATAACGAGTGTGTGCGCCGGGCCTCGGTTCGCAAACTATGGAAAACATCTGTCAAGGCTTTAATAAGCAAGAATTCCACGTGACCACGACTGCTCTGCTAAGAGCAACCGATTATGATGATCATTATTAGGGAGTCCAACACTCATATAAATATTAGCTTATCCATTAAGTATATGTATTTTCTACATCGATACCAAGTTTCAAGTCAATCGGACGCATGGTTCAGTAGTTATAACGGAACATCCGTAAATACCCTTGTAGATTTATATATTAGTATAGATTGATATTAAAAATAATAACTGACACAAAATAATACGTCGTTTTAAAAGTACATATTTCAATGCATTGTATTTCATTAATAGAAACCACTGTTAAGATGCTCTGAAATAAACAAATGAGTTAAAATTTTAGCGCTAAAAAATCACCTCTCCATCATCCATTGAAATACTGTTGGTATTACAACAAATAATATTATTATTGTGTTTCAAAATTACAAACACGAATACGGAACAAGATTTGTCCTAAATTCTTATATTATTCAATCCAATCTAAAACTTTTCAGTGCCTATAAGTAATTAATTTTTGCAAGAATGACCACCATCACCATCGATGACTGCCACTAATTTCTACATAATATATTGTAATTTCTTCTATATCGTTCCCTCACTGCTGACGATCGCGACCACATGTGACGTTCCTCCATAGTGTTCGATCATGAGTGGCTTGGACCGCATGGTACAGACTACCACCAAGTGCTTCTCTTACTAGATCTGACCATCTGGCTAGTGTTCTGTCCACGGCGAGCTTGCCCTCTATGCGATCCAAAATTATGAGCTTCTCTAATTCATGTCTGGGAGACAATTATCTATCTATCTATAGGTATATATATAAAAATGAATTGTTGTTCGTTAGTCTCGCTAAATCTCGAGAACGGCTGGACCGATTTGACTAATTTTGGTCTTGAGTTATTTGTGGAAGTCCAGAGAAGGTTTGAAAGGTAGATAAATTAGTATATAATTAGTAAGTAGTAGGTAGTATTAAATAAAAATAACAATTTCGTTTTACCTTTGATGTGTCCCCCATGGGACGGATTCCTTTTGTTTGTTTTAAGTTTATTTTATACAAAAGCTTAGGTCTTTTATTTATCGATTGATGCTCTACAAAGTCTGCCGGGTCAACTATATTTAATATATAATTATACGAACTCAAAACTAAAAACTCTAGCATCATAGTTTAATTCAAAGCACATTTAACAAGAGAACAGAGAAATGTGTAAGATCGAGGCCATTTTGAAGTCTGCGATATCTTTAACCAAAACCGGCTCGTACCAAAATTGTTCTACGAAACTAATTAACAATGTTTGCCGGATTATACAACTGGTCATTCATTATCTTACGGATGCAGTCGAAATAGTCATTGTCAACTCTAAAACAATAAGGCAACGGTAGGAATGGCAACTGCCCCGCTCTAGACGTTGCTAGTTTCCCAGATCACGTTTCAAATTTAGCTAGATAATGGTTTAGCTGGTACTCAAAACTGGACTTAACTGAATTCAAAACCTAATTACTATCTTAAATTAGTTTCTTTTTTAAATATCTGCTGAGCATATTCTCTCGAAGATTCAACGGGACTATAATGGAAGAAATAACGATTGATCTGTTTCCAGAATTATTTCCGTTATATATTTTTTTGTTGTTTATTCCTTATGCAAACGTATTAAACGTATGCAGATAGGCGAGTTTATCTGAGTAATTTTCCTACAAGCAACAGACACTTAGATCGAAATGCTGTAAAAATTAAAAAAAATTGTAGACGTCGTGGCCTAAAGATTAATAAGCCCGGTATACTCATATAAAGAAAATAGGCTAGTAGATATAGTCTAACTGAATAATTTTTCTGCAAGCAATAGACACTTAAATCGAAAGGCTGTAAAAAGTATAAGGTTTTGTAGACGTCGTGGCCTAAGGATTAAGAAGCCCGGTATACACGTATAAAGGGAATGGACTAGTAGATATAGTCTAACTGAGTAATTTGACTGAGTAATTTGAGAGTAAACTGAGTATTAATATTAAACTCTAGTTTGTGTAGATAGGTGCCTATCTATGTTTCATTCCAGAAACAAATATTACAAACCTAATTTATTAATTTACTCCATACAATGTAGTGGAGAGTGGAGTTGTATTTTCAACGCTTCGAGTAATTTGTCATTGTCGTTAAAGAAACTTCAGCAACTACGTAGCGCGTAATGTACCAGAAAGAAAATATATAACACAGTATACCAGATGATGCTATAACCGGATTACAGAGTGATATTAATCCTGTATGAATATCTCACGTTGGTTACAAATAGTAGATTTCTAGTTTTTCTCATTTTTCTTAATAGTTATGTATGTTATATGGATAATTATGATTGTTAAAAATATTAGTTCTGAGTCATTCATTAGCTTAAATGGTTAAATAATTTATGTTAGAGTTATTTAATCTATGTACTTCAAAACGAAATAGCTTTGGCAACAATGTAATGTACGTCTGTGACTATAGATTACAGAATATACATATAACACGATTTAAGTACAATAACTTATGGAATTAATATAAATAACTATGAGTTAGAGTTAAATATGCTCTGAATATTATTTGAGGTGTATATTATTCGTTCATTGTAGATGCAACGACTACTACACTAAAAAAAATATACTCTAGTTACATATCGGAGCTACCGTGCATATTTTTTTTTCGACATAATGATCATAAGGACTTTTTTTATTGCTTGGATGGGTGGACGAGCTCACAGCCCATCTGGTGTTAAGTGGTTACTGGAGCCCATAGACATCTACAACATAAATACCGCCACCCGCCTTGAGATATAAGTTCTAAGGTCTCAGTATAGTTACAACGGCTGCCCCGCCCTTCAAACCGAAACGCATTACTGCTTCACGGCAGCAATAAGCAGGGTGGTGATACCTACCCATGCGGACTCACAAGAGGTCCTACCACCAGTAAAAATTCAAAATCCAGTGAAAATAATTTTGATCCGAATTATTATATCCTTTAATTTCGTGGTTCGCACTTTTAAACGTCAAATTATCAGATCAATTATTCAATTAACTCTTATTTTTAAAAAAGGTCATGGATTATCTGCCTTTATGTTATGTAAATACATTAGAACAAATTACAATTTTAATAGTCATGACATAATTTTAAATACATTGTAAAGTTGTTTTCAATTACAACGTGAGCAACCTGTTAATATTAAAACATAAATATACCCGATTACCTTCAAAACATTTAGATATTTAAGAAATATCTAAAATGCTCTATATTTTTTATAGTTTGCAGTGATTATTAATATAAATAAGAGCGTTGCTGATTTTATTTAAGCTTAATACATAATCTGATTAAAGTTCGAAACTTGTATAATGCTCAGAGAATTAAATTCCTGAATGAATATTATACCCTTGTTCGGTTTTGGTTTCCAGTAGAGTTCAATTTTGAGATTAAAGGTAATAGCGATATGTTTTTACTCGCTGTAACATAATAAACTCCCAGCTAGGGGCCATTAAATTGCTTCACAATTAAGTATTCAAATTAATATTATTAATATATTTCTAACAAAAGAAACGTGAGACCTTAATGCCTAAACACCACTTGACCCAAGTTCCGTAACCGCGTTTCTGAGGTAAGTTTCTTTTCATGAATTTTAATTTTCCTCCGTTCTGAAAGGAGTTTATTAGGAACACTGGAATCCACAGCCTTTGATGTTTTGTTTTGTGTTTCCTCATTACAAAAAAAAACCGAAGTTCATTACAAAATCGTCTGTTGCTCTATTAATTTCCATTTGAAAAAATTAACGCTGATAATAATCGAAGAAAAGTCTAGTGATCAAACTTTTTCACGTAAACTCCTTTGTGTTTAATTTTAAATGGAAAATGCTGGCACTAAAAACAATCATATCAGAAATGTCACTGTCAAATTTTAAGTGTACATTTGCAGCTCTCGTGGATAAGGCATTCTCATTTTACTTTATTTTAATTTCCTTCAATTTACATAATGTCTTCGGTAAAGGAATCCGAAACCTGTCTAGATGATTTATCAGATATAGACATAACGTTAATGACGCTCAGGAAGCCGACGGACTTGAAGAAAGTGATCGATTCAGTTCCAAAGCCGGTTAGGGCGGTGCCGAAAAATGGGCTACCGATGTGGTTTAGGTTAGGACTCGAGTGTAAATTGCCAGTTCCAAAAATACCGGAGGGAAAAATAGTTTTTTCACGCGGGAAAATCGGCGAAGATGTAAGTTTTTTTTTAAATCTATTTCTCATTTTTCCATGCCTACATTTCATTTAGTAATACATTTTAAAGGTAGGCAATAATTAAAAAGCTAAGGGAATTGTCAAAAAAAAAGTAATCGCATCTAGGAAGCGTCTGATCATGAATATTATTATTATTTCTCATATATAGGTTTACGTCCACGTAATCCTAAATAAATAAGGTTTCTGTAGTATTGTCTTACCTTTCATTACATTAATTATGTGTGGCAAGGATAGACTGGGCGGTGATACCCAACCGGCTTATATTACCTCCGAAAACTAAATTTTTTTAAATTTACATTTTAACTTGGTTCGTTTTTTACCGATTCCATTATCAACCCAAAACCTGTTGCCCGAAATATCTCTGCTGGACTTCGAATACTTTTTATGACATGATATTGTGAATGTTTTGAAACAAAACCTATTATGGACATGGCTGAAGTTTCATTGCTATGACCAACCCAATTAAACTTTAAATAGCTTGAAATCGAAAGATCGAAGATTTTCGCTCTTTAACGTGGAAACTGCATTAGCATCGTCCTGTTTGAAGGTCGTTAAAACGGAAATGACATAAGCTCGACGAAACGGAAATGAGACTCAAAGAACGACACTAAAAAGAGACAAACATATCAGTGTATAAGATTTAACTACGAGAGAATGAGATAGATTACTCAAGTTGTCATCATCAAGGTGTACATGACATCTTAATTCACTACATGAATTCCGGCCTGAAGGCTAGCACAAAAATTATACAATCGAGACTCAATCCATATTACAAATCATGATGATAATGATGATGATGAGGTATGATTATCTCTATGAGCTTCAATAGTCACTTATGGCGGTCCCTAACATCGCCTCCCTAAGATTAATTTAAACGAATTGAAGAGAATCCATTAGTTTGGAAATAATTTGGAAGATTTTCATCTATTTACACAAAATTTCCAAAGAATCTCTTGATCCTCGGTGAATAAACGGCTGTTTAGTTATAATAATTATTATAATGCTATTCCCGTTCAAAACATTCAGCTCCTCTTTGTTATTTTAAAGGCTTAGACACAATTATTTTGTGTCAATGTTTACAACTAAAATTGGAAGCAAGGCATTGAATATTAAGAATGTTGTTAAGACGAAATTTAGGGAATACTAGCTTTAAATTTATTATAGCTCTAGAATTAAAACTGTTTGCTAATTGTGGGTGGCGAGAAACTGGTCTAAGGCTGCCTATTTCTGCCGTGAAGCAGTAATGCGTTTCGGTTTGAAGGGTGGGGCAGCCGTTGTAACGTTTTTTTTTAATATTTTTTTTGTTGCTTAGCTGGGTGGTCGAGCTCACAGCCTACCTGGTGTTAAGTGGTTACTTGAGCCCATAGATATCTACAATGTAAATGCGCCACCCACCTTGAGATATAAGTTCTAAGATCTCAGTATAGTTACAACGGCTGCCCCACCCTTCAAACCGAAACGCATTATTGCTTCACGGCAGAAATAGGCAGGGTGGTGGTACCTACCCGCGCGGACTCACAAGAGGTCCTACCACCAGTAACTATACTTGGGACCTTAGAACTTATATCTCAAGATGGGTGGCGCATTTACGTTGTGGATGTCTATGGGCTCCAGTAACCACTTAACACCTGGTAGGCTGTGAGCTCGTCCACCCATCTAAGCAATAAAAAATAAAAACATGTCATGATACACAAGACAGTGTTCAAGTCATATGTACCTTCATGCTTTGAGTTGAAATAATTAAGAAAGTGTATTTGAAGTTGTCAGTACAATCTAAAATTTATTTCTTAAATGAGACCTTTAAGTCATGTCTTATTTTAAATTATTATCATATTTTTATGAAAAATGATAACTATTATGGAGTGAAATGAAATGAAGATGATTAATTTGAGACATTAATCAACTGGGATGAAATTAAATGAAATGAAATGAGATGATATGGGATGAAATATAATCTCAGTAAAATAGTGATCATTTACTAAGATTTTTTCAGTGGACTTTTTGGAGGATCCCGAGAAGTTACGTCCAGCGGCTTTGTTTCATTTTCCCACATTTGTGCACTTTCACAGATATTAAACAGTTAATAAACCACCATTATTACACATTTAAACCCGAAGAAACACTAAAAAGACAAAATAAAACAAATCACACAACTTCACTCCTCGCGTTCCCGCCAAAAAAGTCCCATCTAAAATTTACGTTTGACTTTTACACAGAGTAAATAAAAATATAGGCTAAAGTATCTGTTTCAATAAAGGCAATCACGACGATATTTGAGAACAAATAAACATCAATATTTAATTATAATGTTGCCTATTCCGCGGAATGGGTTTTCAATAAAAAAAATTAAAAAAAATGCTGTACGCACATTGTCTTTGCTATCGTTAACAAGTACTCACATAAAAATTTATTAATAAACGATCTGCGAAGAAGCAAAAATACTTTCGAATAATTATAACGATTAGTTCTGCGATCACGAAAACTGAAATGTTCGAAAAGTCAAACAGAACAAAATTAAAAGTTTTTAGTTAGTTTTAATTTCTTCTGTTTTAGTTTTAGTTCTGTAGACTTTCCAAAAAAAACAACCTAGAATTATAAATATGAAAGAGTAAAATGTGAATGTTGCTAAATGAATCAAGTGGGCCGTATGCTCGTCTGCCTACAAGGGCAATAAAAAAAAAAACCAAACTTGGGTTGATTCCTAAAAACAAGACAGTAAGTCTGACTAGATTTTTTTATTGTACTAAAGCAGAGGTAGCCTTGTGGGAATTAACTTTATAAGAATTGTTCTAGTATTACTGAATGTAAAGATGAGCTCCCGGCCCACCTCGTATTTATTCAGTGTTCATCGTAGCCCATTATTGCCTTGCAGCAGGAACAATCGCGATGGCAGCACCTGCCCGTCCGGGCCAACCCTACATTCACCAGTTAGAGTTAGTCCACTCGCGGGAAGAGAAGGTGGTACTTCGGCCATTCGTATCGTATAACTAAATGTGAAATACATTCGGAATAAACATGTTTGCGATATATTTTATTAGGATGCGTCCTTCTCCTTACGTCGATAATCCTCAATGCTGAGGGTCGTGGTCTCCTCTAATAACTTAAACACGTTCAAATCTCCTTATTTTTATTGCTTAGATGGGTGAACGAGCTCACAGCCCACCTGGTGTTAAGTGGCTACTGGAGCCCATAGACATTTACGACGTAAATGCGCCACCCACCTTGTGATATAAATTCTAAGATCTCAGTATAGTTACAACGGCTGCCCCACCCTTCAAGCCGAAACGCATAACTGCTTCACGGCAGAAAAAGGCAGGGTGGTGGTACCTACCCGCGCGGGCTCACAGGAGGTCCTACTACCAGTTCAGTATTTCAGTATACTTAATAAACAATCAAATACATTATTTATTCGTCTAGATATAAAGCACCTACGGGGCGACCCAGAATGACCCAGATTAATCTGACAAGCCGGTCAGGATTAGCGGTATAGGGCGGTCCTGCCCTTTGTTCTACGTTTGCAATTGTAAGGGAGCCTCTTGCGTTACGTACGTACAAGTACTAATGAGGTCACGCTTTGAACGATCTTGATAATGACGGACCGTCGTATCCTTTAACAACAAAACTTTGTAATCTTAAGCGAACGGTAATGGAGTCTAAAAGGTGTTTTTTGGCATATTATCTGACTAATGAAATTTAATGTTAGTCTGTGTCGCTTATAGACTTGAACACTCTTTAGATCCAGCTCAAAGTGGACTATAACGGGTCAATTATTTGAAAGACTTAGAAAACTTGTATGCTTCGCTGCATAATTTTAGCCCACAGGAGTAGAATATAACGGAGTGGGCAAGATTGTGGAACTTCCCCAAGAGAATTTACAGTACGTCCTTCCAGTAGTAAATTACTGGTGGTAGGACCTCTTGTGAGTCCGCACTGGTAGGTACCACCGCCCTGCCTGTTTCTGCTGTGAAGCAGTAATACGTTTCGGTTTGAAGGGCGGGGCAGCCGTTGTAACTATACTTGAGACCTTAGAAGTTATATCTCAAGGTGGGTGGCGCAAGTGCGCAAATGGCAGCGTAAATACACTGTAGATGTATATGGGCTCCAGTATAACCACTTAACTCCAGGTGGGCTGTGAGCTCGTCCACCCATCTAAGCAATAAAAAAAATAAAAAATAAAAATTGTAAATAAAACAGAACCAATGTTGGGTGGAAAAATGAAATTAAATACTCTGAATGTAAAACAATTTGATATTACGGATTAATTAGGAATGGGTTAGCTTGTTACGATTATATTCAGAGGGTATTTAGTTTCGAAAATGTATTTCTAATAAAGTATAAAGGGTTCTTGCCTAATTAGTAAAACGCCCTATGTCAAGTATATTCCAATTAATTCAGAGTTCCGGAATTCTGATTTCGCAGGCAAATACGAATTCTCCATAACGACACGGTTCACGAATGACGATAAAGGAATAATAATATCTTGTAACAAAAATGAAATCGAGATAAAGTCACACTTGTAACTGTACTGCTTTATAAATATTTATGAATGAAAACGTAATTTGTATTTGCAAAAAACAGTTTAGAATTTAAAAATACCGATCTTCATACTATTGAATGAACTAAATTAATATTAATTATTTGGTTTTTTTTTTGCTTAGTTGGGTGGACGAGCTCACAGCACACCTGGTCTTTAGTGGTTATTGGAGCCCATAGACATCTACAACGTAAATGCGCCACCCATCTTGAAGTATAAGTTCTAAGGTGTCAATATAGTTACAACGGTTACACCACCCTTCAAACCGAAACGCATTACTGCTTCACGGCAGAAATAGGAGGGGTGGTGGTATCTACCCGTGCGGACTCACAAGAGGTCCTACCGCCAGTTTACGCAAATTACAATTTTGCGGGTTTAATTTTTATTACACGATGTTATTCCTTCACCGTGGAAGTCAATCGTGAATATTTGTTAAGTACGTATTT